CGATGATTGACTTGAGTCAAGATAATTACTTCATTGATAAATTGTTCAATTTGGCCCTGATCCATTATTCTTGACTTTTTAATTGCAACAATACGTTTATCACTCAGAATTCCTTTATAAACTATACCAGAGCCACCACGGCCAAGGATATGATCTTCAGCGTAGTTATTTGTTGCATGTTCTAGTTCTTCTGCAGAAAAGATTTTAGTTGATTCCATACCACCCTCATTTGAAGAAAGTTGCCGCTTCAATAGCAAACCGCCATTTTGTTGGAAGAATTTCTCTCGCAGTTTAATAAGCTTTCGTTTTTGAACGCCAAAATATAGCCAAGTAACACCAATTATCAAAGTCAAGAAGCCAAAACCAAGACCTAAAAATTTTTAGTTTGACACGCACATTGAACTAATTAGAACCTGATCACGCTAAATCCAACCATTCAAAGTAATCATAATAAAGATTAGAAGCTTTCACCAAGGAATATACAACTGGACATGATTTTAAGTTATTAATATTGCCTACCAATACAATAATGATAAATATCAGATTTTTGATAAACTTAGTTCCTTCATAGTGTCATCAAATATAGCTTATCTAAGATAAATTAATATCATATACTTTGTGCATTCGAACAAATTAGAGGGTTTTTTTGTGTTACTATTTTGAAACAAGTATGGATGTGCAATGCGAACTCCTTGATTAGTGCAAATTTGTGCACTTATTTATGCCACATTATTAAATTTTTACGTCGTCAAATTATTAAATTTATATTAATTTGTGTTTGTTTCAGTGTTCAGCCCGTTTTGAAGCAGGTGGAAAAGAAAAGGATAGATTGATGATTAAATAGAAGTTGTGACCAAATCTCACTTGAATAAAAGTTGGAGGATCGAAGGTAGTGGAATAATGAAGAAAAGGACTAAGTTGCATTAATTATAATGGAATGAGCCCTTGAAAGATAAATTCCAACTAATTGGGCTTAAAAGTGGACTTTTAGTTGTCACCAAATTGAATAATGAATGGATATTTAGTTGGGCTAAAAAAGGCCTGCGGCACCTAAAGAATGAATGGATATTTAGAGAGAGAGAGAGAGAGAGAGAGAGAGAGAGAGGTCAAAGGCACCTAAAGAGAACTTGATCATCGGGAATACTGGAGTCCGTTTATTGCAGCCATGACCGTCTTTTCTGCCATCACCAAGGTATCCATGCGGACATGAACATTTATAACTACCTGGAGTATTAGTGCAAATTCCTTTTGGATCACATGGATTTTGATTGCATTCGTTGATATCTGACAAATAAAAAAGGATAATAATCTCATTAGGGTCTGAAAATCGTGTGGAGCAATTTTTTCATTTTCTGATTAATTATGGTACAAAAGCTTGGTACTGACCTCTGCAGCCCGGATGAAGATATGGATTGCCCTCATAACCTTCAAAGCAAGTGCAGCGGTATCCTTGTAGACCATTATCAGGATCAATGCATCTGCTATTCTGTTGACAACTAACATTGTTGGATTTGTGAGATTCAGTACAATTTTGGGTCCCAATCACCCAGTCCAAGAGTACAGGGACATTCTCTATGGTTCTGTTATAAAATGTCAAATCAGAAAGGTTCGCTTTATGGAATGTAAAGCTGTCCTGCTCTCCAAGAAAGGCGTGACCACAACCAGCATAGGACCAGACCTTAGTGTAATTATCAATGCTGGTCATTGAAGTTTCAAAATTCTGCAGGCCGTTTGGTATGGAGGTTTGGCAGCAACCCGTCCCCGAGCAATCCCCATCAATGATACTTTCCTTTGACGAACAGATGGAAACACATCCGCTGGTGAAGTTACGCCCTGTTGTTCCTGATATTACTGCCACGTCATCACATCCAACAACCATGAATTTATTCATTTCAGAGAAGCCAAAATTTTGTGGTAAATAAACATTCACTTGGGAATCCTCTGTCAAGTTGCCACGTTGATTATAGCATGTTTCAGCCACCCAATTCTTGATGCGCATATGAGAATCTGTTATATCAGTAACTTCGAGATTTCGATCCCAGAGAGGCCTGGGCGGATTAGAAGAAGTGTTGCAGTTGATTTCAAACGATGGATCTATGGAACAACCAGTGCCTAAGCCAATGCCGAAAGGGTAAGGAACTGTTAGATTTCCACATTTGCTGGGACATCTCGGCTTGCTTATGTTTGCCCCTTTCGTTATGGTAGTGGGGCTTCGGGTTGTGTTGACATAATTAGAAGCTGCCAATGCCAATGGAAGCCACAAGACAAGGAATAGAACAGAATGCAGAAACATTTTGCTGCCAAAATTTAGTTGAAGCCTTCACAAATCATAATACTGTACAATTCATATGATCAATGTAATATTCGGCCACAAACGTGTCTTTCATGAGTATTTTATGTACACGCCAACATTGACTCTACATATTACATATGTGAAAATAATTTACATTAAAAGAATTAATAGAAGTGAGAAGACTAGTCCAGTAAATATACATGCATATTATACACTTAATAATTTAAAGTGAAAGTTACGAAAATTTGCTTCTTCTTTTTGATTTTTTTTCTTTTTGATTTTTAATTCTGTCAAGGTCAAATATTAATTAGAACTGCAAATTCACAGCAAATATCTATTTATTAACCACAATCAATATTGTTCTTCCTAAAAAGTTACAAATAATTTAACCCCAACAATGCATAAGCTTTGTCACTTAATAAGCTGAGATTTAGCCCCTATTTGACAACATTTAAAATTTTAAGTTGTTTGTTACAGTATCATTTTAACCGCATATTTACGCAATAAAATATTTTACCACAAATCAATAAAGTTTACTTACTTTTTAACTTCACGTTCTTCAAAAATATTATTTAAAACTCTTTAGTTCTCCAAATAATGAGTGACAAACAGGGGCTTAAGTAGTTATTTGTTCCTGAAAGTTCTTGGAAGCAAGTAATGAAGGAGAACAGTGACTCACCAGCAAGGATGATGAAATGCAGTTTTTAAGACTGCAATCAATGGATCACGATGAAGAATAGTGTGTGAGTTGGGGGTATATGGATAGTAAATGGCGCTGCATAGAACAAAGGCACAAGCTTGTTGAGATTGGAGATTTCAAAGTTAGATGTATGAGGAAGCAACTGAATTGGACTGGAACCTGGTTGTTGCCTTCCATGAAGAAAAATACTCCTTCTGTCCTAATTATATAGGCTGAGTATCATTTTTCTCTTGTCCCAAATATATAGACCTGTTTCTTAGTTTAAGATATTTTGTTTTGTTCTTTTATCAATATACATTTATTCAATTTTCACCACTTAATATGCCAACTTATTCAAATCATCCATATACACACATTTCTCAATTCTTGAAAACATGGAACAAATCTCATTTCTTCATTTTTAAATTAAATCATTTAATTTTTTTACTAATTTCAGCAATAATTTACTACCACATATTGAAAACTAAATGAGGGTAAATTAGGAAAGATCTTGGTAAAAATTAATTTTCCAATGACATTAAGGAAGAATTTTTATCCGTGTGAAAAACAAAACAAGCCTATATAATTGGGATAGAGGGAGTATTTATTTTGGTTTTAAAAATTCAGAACCAGAAGGTTCGGTTCCGTTCCGATTCCCGATTTTTACGGTAGCACCGAATTCGTAAACCGATCATGATGCTGCACTTTTGTTTTTCTTTTTTAACGAAGACTAGGGCCAGGAAGCAAAATTTACTATTTTGCTGACTGATTTTGCTGGAATACTAGTAAGTAATTAATTTTCAATGTAAGATTTTCTTTAATTTAAGCCTATAAGCTTTATCAGCTGTTAATTTTGTTCATGTTTAGTATTTAGTTCTTAATATTATTAATATATGTTATTTGGCTTCCACGGACATAGTGCAATTGTAAAGCAGGAGGGTTCTTACGGAGCATCGGAGTTTCTGCGACAGCTAGAAGGCAAATATTCTGTGAAGGCAAAGTTATGGTGCGCTTTGTCGTCCTTTCGGAGGTCTTGCCCGCACATTGTAAAGGGAGGTCCACATGGAGGAGAACTGCATCTCGAATGTCTGGCCCAAGTGTGTATAAGTTGTGATCGCTTTCGGATTTACACAAGTGGCGAACCGGGGGAAAGCCACCACTTAAGATTAGTCAAGCGAAACTCTGACACTTGAGTCACAAAATAATAATAATAATAATAAATCCGTTATTTCTTATGGGTTCATTTTGATAACGATTTTTAAATGAGTGTCATCCTCTTCTTTGTGCCCCGTGAAGCATTGACTGCAAACCTCTATTACAGCTGGTGTTCTTAATATAGTCATTAATTTTTCAAGTTGCTGTCTTTATCTTAATTGTAGTTGCCAAACAAGACCAAAAGCATCCGTATAGAGCTATTTGTCTTGATAAATTAGCAGTTGGGACCAGAAGCATATATAGACTAAAAATTAAGGTCAAGCTAGGATATCAAACGAGCCGCTTGGCTCGGGCTCGTCATTAAGGTCAAGCTAGGGATATCAAACAAGCCGCTTGGCTCGGGCTTGTCAAATGACGAGTCCTAAGCTGAGCTCGCGAGTGACTCGTGGACACAAAGTTCACGAGCCCACGAGCCGAGCCGAGCCGAGCTCATGGGCTCGTCAAATAGGTGGAAATTTACAAAATAAATAAAATAATAAAAAATGATGAGCTCGTGAGTGGCTCGGCTCGGCCCGCGAGCCTGTGACTCGTGAGCTCACGAGCTCGTCCTTGAGCAACGAGCCGAGCTCGAGCTCAACTCGTTTTTCACGAGGCATGAGCTTGGCTTGTTTTTCACGAGCCCGTGCTGTGCTCGTGGGTTAAAGGGTCGAGTCGAGCCATTGCCATCCCTAGGCCAAGCAGAGTGGAAATTTTTTTTCCCGAAAATTGCTATAGTAGTTAATGAAATTGTGAAATAAGAAGAACTAAACCAAAACTAGTAAGTTCTTGTCTGGTATGGTAGTGCAGTAGCACAATGTGAAAATTTCCCATTGATAACTCGTTTTTGTTCCTGTATTTTTCAGTTTTGAATTTATGCATGTATTTTATCCACCAAGAAAACTCAGGTTGAAAATGTTTCTTTTATGAGCTTGCCAAAATCGTGCTAACATACAGTAAACTTCCTATACATACTAATAAATCTACAGAATGTATAGTGCTTTTTCAAGTGTTCACTGAATTACTAATGAAGGATATTGTCACAACTTTATCCAAAAGGTTCATGGCAAGAATGCAATCCACCTTACATCACTCGGAATGAAGCTCGAAAATTCACCACAAGACCAATCCACGGCCTACCTCGTTTCAAGCATGCTCGTGCGTTAAAACCCTAACTAAATAATTGAAGCCCATAAGGTCGAACCAGATTATCATTTCTAAACCACTATAAGCTTTCCTGGTCTCATGTCAACACATATCTCCAACTTGAGACAGTGCAGTAGTTGGTCAGATCAAAATTTAATGTCCCAAGGATCCAAAAACATCGAAATTCATCCTTAGAAGTCCAAAATTGTCCTTTTCCTCACAACTGTTGGTTGGATCAAAATTTAACGCCCGTTTTGAATGCTTCAATATTCCTCAATCATCCCTAGAAGTCCAAAATTATCCTTTTCCTCACAACTGTTGGTTGGATCAAAATGCTTCAATATTCCTCAGTCATCCCTAGAAGTCCAAAATTGTCCTTTTTCAGTTTTCCTCATAACTGTTGGTTGGATCAAAATTTAATGCCCATTTTGAATGCTTCAACACTCCTCAGTCATCCCCCAACACTCTCGTCCTTTTTAGTGGCCCTAGCTGTTGGTTGGATCAAAACAAAACGTAAATGCATGTGTACCTTCTAGCCTAATAATTTAATTTTTTTTTATTAAGATGAGCTTTAAGTGGGCAAGTCAACCATAATTTATGTAGGATTGGATCCGCCGGGAGATATATATTTTGACAATAGATTTAAGTTTTACATTATATTACTGTTAATTCATTTTATTTTTAAACATCCGTTGCAGCTCAGAGCTTGCGTGTAACATATTTGAAGCCTTCGGTTCAAATCCTCTACCAACAAATTTGTTTTGTATTATTCTTATACTACAATTTTTTTTACCAAAATTTAATAAGAAGGGGAACAAAGGTGAATCGAACCTGTGACCCCTTGCAGGAGTTGTAGTAAACGTAACCATTATTGTACTTGTTGAATTGTGTCATTAAATTTTGTTGGGCTGTGATGCCATTTGATTAGTCCAACTGATAGGCAGTGATGAAATAAGGCCCAATTTGGAATTAATGGATGGTCCATTTATTGTAAACCTAGAAGGCCCACTTAAATCGAGCCCAATATCCAGCCCCTTTTATCCCTAGTTGTTCTTGGACCGTTGGATTAACCCACTCAATCTAACGGAGGATTGGTTTACTATATATACGTCCCTTATCCCTTGTTTGGGATAAGGATGGTCATTTTTCTGTTCTTTTTTTTCTGTGTATTCTGGAACCTTCAATGGCTTTCGTCTTTGTGACCTTTTCTTCTTCTCTGTGTGAGAACTTCTGTTGATTATCTTTGTGATAATCATGTCATTGTGTTAGTCTCCTTTGTGTGAGTAAACTGTTGGAAGTGGTCTATCCATTTTCGGTTCCAGTGAAGCGACTTGGTGTTTTGGGGTTCTGAGGGCTCGTGTGTTGAGTTCGGTGCCTCTGTGATGGTTGTAAAGGGCGTATGGTCTGAGCCTAAATATAAATCTAAACCTTGATCCAGTGGCTTAGGTTTTATGTAAATCTGCTGCATATATATATTCCGATTTGTATAGTTTGAACAGATTCTGGATTAATAGTGGTATCAAAGCTTTCTTTGTCCGTTCTTGAGTCTTCGATTGAAGGTTTGAACACTGGAAAATTAATTTCCAGGTGTTCAACTGTAGATCGCAAAACCCTAGGTTTTGATTTGAGTCAACCTTGTGGTCTGTGGAGCTGATTCATTACTGGACTATGAAATGCGAGGGAATTCTGTGTCTCCTCGCCTTGATCTGTGAAAGAACCTGAAATACGAGTCCCTGTGGGTTTCGTTTTTGAGCTGGAACCTTAACTTCGAAATTGATTGGAAGGACTTGAAGCTGTTATGGCTTGACTTGAATTTTGGTGACCTGCAGAGCACTTATCCCCTACCGCGATAACCTGTTTTTGATTTCAGCTGGTGGTTAATTGTTTAACCACCTTCGGTTTGCACATTCTTGAACCCTACACGACTGCACACACTCTTAATTCTGCTTTTATGAGTATTTGCCTCTATGTGACTATGTTGATA